CTTTCTGTCTCTATGTCTCTCTCTGTCTGTCTGGCGATGCAGCCGCCCCCTAGCGCAAAAACCCCTCAAAAAAAAAAAAAAAAAAAAAGGATTGAATCCATCCAGAGACTGTCTCCTTAGGCAGTCCAAGAAAGTTGAAGTTGCCACTTGGATTCCTCTGGCAATTTTACCAGGAGGTTTCAAGTGGATTACCTGGTCCCTTCTCCAAACTCTCAGGAAAAGGGAAAACTTTTTCCTATTTAAACAAACTCTCTTAAGGTTTTTTAATTTCATAAATACTGTTAAATGCCCTGTTAGGATGTGTAAATCATTTATCAGTTTTAGATAATCTTCGCATATCTTGAGTAGTAGGGACTCTATTTGGAATTTTACAACAGGTCCAATATTTTATCATTGTGAATATAACAGAACTCTTATTTGCAAAAACCCTACATCTTAAAATAATTTATTTTGCCACTTTGAGAGCTATATATACTTTTTTATTTACAGTTAACTACAAATAATGGGAATAGTGTACATACACCATCATCAAAGAATCACTATAAAATAATAATGTATACTTTTTATCATAAGATGAAATGCACATTAAGTTGTCTACAATGCAAGCTATGATATTCATTAAACATTGAGAAAGAGAGCAACAAGAAAAGTCCTGTCACAATCAAGCTACAGAATGATCAGATGCCCGACTCGCAGAAGCAGTAGTAATAAGCTAGACTCTAGACCAGTCATTGCCAAAGTTTCTTTGTAAACAGCCAGATGGCGACCACGCTGTCTCTGTTGTGGAAGCAGGGATGACAACGTGCAGAGCTGTGACGTGATTGGTCTTTATTGACAAAAGCAGACTGTGGGGGGGACCAGCAGTTGGTGTAATGGCTACGTCGCTGAGTTTCCAGGTAGTCGACCGTGGTTCGAGTCCCGGACCCGGTGCCTTAAACTCATGCCAGGTGCATGTGTGTACGCGGCCAAGATCCTGAGAGGAGAGTGGAGGAGAAGGGATTGCAGTGTGGCCATCCCCGCTGGGGGTGATTTCTCATTTTCTGTCTTTCTATCTCTGTCTTTCTGGTGAGCACATGTGCCCTATAGCAAAAACCTCTCAAAAAAAAAAAAAAAAAAAAAAAAAAAAAAAAAAGCAGACTGTGGGTTACCTTTAGGCCATGGACTATAGTTTCTGACCTCTGCCCTAACTGTTCTGTGGCCAACACTGGTTAAGGTCTGGATGATTCTGTATCAGTAAGAAAATAATTAAGATGCAAATAGGCTTTATTTCAAAACTATATTATCTTTTTAAAGAGTAATTATATTTGCTTTTTTCTTTACATAAAAATACTTGGCTAAAACCTCACTATTCACATGAAAAAATAATCTTTATCTTATAAATGATCTAAAATCCAGGATCATATTTAATATGAAGTCTATAAAATTTCCATCATTAGCATAAGCAATGATGACCTCTTTGTAGTAGATTTTATTTGACTAGCCCATTCTTCTTTTTTTTTTGGAGAGGTTTTTTGCTATAGGGCATGTGTGCTCGCCAGAAAGACAGAGAGAGACAGAGAGACAGAAAGCGAGAAATCACCCCCAGGGGGATGGCCACACCGCAATCCCTTCTCCTCCATTCTCCTCTCGGGATCTTGGGCACGCACGCACACGCGCCTGGTGTGAGTTTAAGCCACTGGGTCTAGGCCTCGAACCACAGTCGACTGGGAGTCCAGCAACATAGCCATTACGCCAACTGCTGGTCCTTGAATAGCCCATTCTTAATGAGGTTATGTTCTGTGGAGACAGAATATACCCAGTAACAACTTTTTTGAATGGACATTATTTATAGAACAAAGATAAGCCTCTACCATTACAGCAGATGAAAACCAGCTGAATGATTTACTAGGGAATAGACCAATCAGGTTCAGAAAGAATCTCCTATGGGTTTGTTATCTGTAATTTTCAATTGCTCAGAACTTTCCAATTTTTACATGGTCTCCATTGCAAGCTGTCATATGGCAATGGCTTTACAATGTAATTATGGAGCCTCTGCTGGTGAACCTTATCCTGACACCAGTCTTGGTATTCTTCTAGTCTGTGTTATTTCTTCCAAAATCTGACAGTGTTTCCATTACTTATTGTTGATAAGTATCCACGCACGGAAATGCCATTGGGATACCAAGAACGCGGGCTGCAGGAGGATCAGAGAAAATGAGCAAAGACTGTCATAGAGTTGAGGAGCATGGGAAATAGGAAGGTCAAGTGTTAACTGTAGGAGCGGACATTAAGTTGGAGGGAAAGAAAGGAGGGAGAGGAAGTATTCCGTTATGTAGAATCAGGGTCAGTGGGGAGCCAGCAGGTGGCGTGGTAGTCAGGGCACAGGACTCCCACATGACTGACTGCAGTTCCAGTCCCAGATCTGGCAGCTTGAAAATTACATGGGGCTCATCTCCATGCATGCCCCAAATCCTAGGACAGGGACTGTGGTGTGGCCATCCCCTCTGGAGGGGGCTTTCTCATTTTCCCTCATGATGTAACTCTCTGGTGTGTGCATGCACCCTATGACAAAAAAACTGAAAAAAAAAAAAAAAAAAGAAAAATGAAAAAAGAAACAGGGCCAGAGAAGTGAGACAGAGAAAGGAGATGGGTGAGATAGAAGGACAGGACATATCTGATGTTAGAAAAGTGCCAAATCTAGCATAGACAGTGGAGTGTCTCGAGCCGACAATGAGTGAAGAATTAATGCCAAATTGCAAACCGCTGGGAAGGCAGTAGAAATGCTGGCAAGTGATCTGAGTTGGAATAGATTGCACTTGTGTTTTAGAAGGATTTCCAGTTTTAGAAAAAGTGGACATCCTTTATCCAAAGTGCTTGAGATAGTCCTTGGGGTCTCAGGGCCACAGTACCCGTGTGTTTCCATGTGTGCCCACACATGGGCACCCCAAGTCAACAAGAGGGCTCCCACTCCCACTGCACAGCAGTATTCTTGATCTTGGAATCTTTAGTTCAATTCAGGAACAAGTAGATTAAACGCATGCCCGAATCAGTAGATGTGGGTGAAGAAAAAGCTTGTAAGTAATACCAGCATCATACATACAAGGAGACCAAACATTAATTTGAAAGAGAAAGGAAGAACATTGACACCACGTGGAAGACAGGGATCCCATTTATCACCGCCATTGTTCAGAGGAAAGGACTGTAAAACAGTAAAACTAAATGCCGATTTCTAGCATGGCCACTGGTGGTAGAATGTGAAGAGTGTGTGTGGGTGCTGAAAAGGATTTTTCCTTTTTTTAAAGTATTTGCCATAGGGTGTGAGTGATCTTTAGAGAGAGACAGGAAAAGTGAGAAATCACTGCCCAGGGGATTGGCCACATGGCAATCCCTTTTCTTCCATTCTCTCCTGGGATTTTGGGCATGCACACATGCCTTGTGTGACCCTCAAGCAAGCAGGTCTGGGACTCCATCCTCAGTCGGATCCACTCATGTGGGAGTCTGGCGTCTTAACCATCAGGCCACCTGCTGGCTCCTAGGATTTCTCTTTAGAAAAGATCCAGCCTTCAGGCTGATGGTCAAGGTAGCTGTATCCCACTGTGTGGTTTCAGTCTTGAACCAACGGTTTGTAAAGCACCCTGGGCCCAGGTGCATATATGTCCAAAATCCAGAAAGGAGACATAAGGAGAAGAGATTGAGGTGTGACCATCCCCTATGGGGAAGGGGAGTTGTTTTCTCATCTGCCCCCACCCATCTCTCTTCAGTGAGTATTTATTAAAAAATAATAAAATAAGATGCACTGGTTCACCCACAGTGAACCAGCTACCAAGATGCCGTGCCTCCCAGGCTGGAACCACATGGGAGGCCCAAGTTTGATGCCCAGTCCCAGGTAAAGGGTGGCCACAGTGGTATACACCTGTGGTACCGGCAACTGAGGAGGTTGAGACAGGAGGAGCTTGACGACAGGACCTTGTCTCAAACAAGCAAACAAAAAATCAAATGCACCTTCCCTCCTACCGATAAAAATAATTCCAAGTGAAATCTGGCAAATGTGAGCACCATGTACGATTCTCGAAGAAGGAGATAAAAAGGCAGGCTCAGCTTTAGGTAAGAAAAACATGGACAAGTTCTGGTTTCTAGGTAGCAAAATCACTTGCTAGTTTCTAGAAGATCTCTAGAAAGACTTAGCATGCATTTGCATAATTGGTAACCACCTAAATTAAATGAAGTGAATTGAGAGGTTTTTAAATTTTTTATTATTATTCATACACTAAATCGCTATATATCTTTTAGATTGTGAAGAGACTTTACCCAGCATGATATACACCTCGGTCCAGCCCAGCTGAGACTCTTATACACATCCTCGTCAACAGATAAAAAACCTTATCTGTGCCCCACAAGTGTCTTACCTCTCCATTTTCCCTTCAAATTTCCTATGCTCTTCCCCTCCCACACTCTCTTTCCACGTTATCTCTAGTGTCCATTACAATTTTTAATACTTTTATGTTCTCCAGTCTTTCAGTCTCTTCCATAGAGTGTGGATAGTCAGTATATGTTTAGCCACTATGGAGAACGATATGGAAGTTCCTCGAAGACCTTCAAATAGTACTACCAGATGATCCAGCAGTTCCACTCCTGGGTATCTACCCAAAGGACATTGAGCACTCAGTAGGAAAAGCGCTTGCACCACTCTTTTCACTGCAGCGTTATACACGATTGCTAAGACATGGGACCAACCCAAATGTCCACAAACAGAAGGTTGCTATGCCCTGCGCTCCTCCACGCTCACTCTCCCACCTGTACTGTGTGATGGTGATTGTACAGAAGATGGCAAACAGTCAAGGAAGGAGGTGGTGGATGGGGGAGCTACTCTCAGAAGAGAGGTTTGAATGAACAGAAAACTAATAAGCCTCTCTGCTTAAGTATACTGACATTCTTTTCAAAAGTTTTTCTCCTGGAATCTCTTGATCCTTGCCTCAATTTGCCCAATCCAGTGCACATCTGTGGATTTCTCTTCCAGCCTGGATCGAGGAACAAGACAGCACTCGCTTGTTTTGCATATGTGTTGCAGGGAGAAAGGATGGATTTAGACAGACCTTGCCCTGTCACCAGCCTCTCCTGCCTCAGCCTCCTAGGTAGCTGAGACCACAGGTGTGCTCTGTCACCATGTCTCCCATGTGGACAGTGGGCTTCATCTTCCTGTCTCAGTATCTGGGACTATAGATCTGAGCCACTGCACCCGTTCTTTAAGGATGGGCTGGGAATTGAACTAGGCCTGCCCTGTGACCTCAGCTGGGCTCCCTCATTGGCTTATTTCTGTGCGCAAATGGGAAGTGAGAATTTATTACAGTACTTTCAAAAGGCCCACTTGTATAGCGCAGTGGTGCCATGGCTGCATGATGCCGGAGCCTGATGGAAGAGTGGAGTTTGGTTCCCAGGCAACCTGCATCCATCAGGTGCATGTACCCACGATCCTGGTCGGCCTAGAAGGCTGGAAGGAGAAGCACAGCATGGCACACTGTTGAGGGCACCTTTATCTCTTCCTCTCCCACTCTCTGTCTCTCACACTTTCTTGTGAAAATAACTTTTTTAAAAATAAGTTCTTATGTAGGTATAAAGCGTAGCATGAAGACGGGATGGGATAGAAGTATGACAGAGAGACAGAAAACGTTACCGAACACCTGAGATTTGGCGTATCCCAAAGAGAAAGCCTGGGCTGGATCGGCAGTGCAGCAGTTGAAGCCCTCCACATAGGAAGCTGGATGGCACGTGGCTGACCAGGCTTCAAACCGTGGGACCAGTGGCCTGAAAAACAGGCCAGGCATGTGTGCATGCATGCCTCAGATTCTGATGGGATGGAGAAACCAAGGAGGGAAGGATTGTGGTATAGCTGCACCCTGTGGGGGACCATTTTCTCTCTCCCTCTGATGAGCGCACATGCCCTCTGGAAAGTTAAATATAATAATAATAATAATAAATAAATAAATAAATAGAAAGCCCAACACCCAAAGAGAAAACCAACCAAACTACCTGAAAAGTATTGTAGTAAATAAAAATAGTGTCAGGAACTTAATTGGATACTTCACCCTCCTCATAAATAATTTGAAAGGCAAATTAAGTAACAGTGAATTATTAGGTATCTACTCTTACTATATACATTTAAACTGTTTTATGGTATCAGTATTTGGGTGCAAAAAGAAAGCACGGACATAGCAAGAAAAGGAAATTAATGGTACCACATATTTGGAGGGCGCGGGGAAGTACTGAACGAAAATGTCAGTGTTTACTCTCTTTGGTCAAGTCTATTTCCAAGAAGCTGTCCTATAAAAGCCTTTGTGTGTGTGTGTGTGTGTGTGTGTGTGTGTGTGTAATAGTGTTCATTATAGCATTATTTAAAGTGGTAGAGGAGCACACAGTTCAAAACTCTAAGAACAAGTATCTTAAATTATGAACAAAATTTGTTTTCATTTGCTATAGGGCCTGTACACTCACTGGAGAGAGAGGAAAAGAGAGAAAGCAACCCCCAAAGGGAGATGGCTGTGCCACAATCCCTTTTCTTCCATTCTCCTCTCTGGATTTTTTTGTGGTTTTTCTTGAGAAGATTTTGCTATAGGGCACGTGCGCTCACAGAAAGACAGAGAGACAGAGAGAGACAGAAAGCAAGAAATCACCCCCTGGGGGGATGGCCACGCCGCTATCCCTTCTCCTCCATTCTCCTCTCGGGATCTTGGGCACGCACGCACACACGCCCGGCATGAGTTTAAGCCACTGGGTCTGGGACTCGAACCACAGTCGACTACGTGGGAGTCCAGTGACATAGCCATTACGCCAACTGCTGGTCCCCTCCTCTCTGGATTTTTGAGCACACTTGTAATATGACTGGCATGGTTCTCAGGCTGCTGAGTCCAGGGCTAAACAGGCTTTTGGCCATGTGGGGTCCAGCTGCCCTAACCACCACACCACCAGCTGGCCCCAAGTATGAAAAATTTATACGATGTAATTTGCTGAATTATTGAAAATAAGTCAGTCTTTAAGCATTTTAAAAGGTAAATACCCTTAATATATTATTGAGTTAAAAAAAAAGCGCATATTCCAGAAAATAGCAGGATCGTCTCCCTCACTGACACATTCTGTACCTATACAAGGGGTCTGCATGGTCATGCAACACGTGTGTCATGCAAACACTACGCATGCATTTTGAAAATTTTTGCACCAAAATGAACTTTAATTCCATTTCCC